AGACGACGACCTGCACATTTTCACGGCGGACCAAGAATTAGATGCTGATCTCATTCGACGCTCGCGGATTGTAGAGGCTGGGTTTTCTTTGAAGAACGAGCACGGCGCCGTGCAAAGCGAGTTCGGATACTGTCTTAGGGTGGATTCGATCACAACAAGCACGCAATCATCAAGGACAAGCCTTGCAAAGAAAGTTCTCGCGGCTTTCAGAAGAAGAAACAAGGCTGAATCAAAAAGCACGCCACAGATCAAGTGGGTGTCAGCATCCCATTTGCTTCACAAAGCGCCTGGGGGATCGGTTCTGGCCGAGAAATACTATCGGAACCATCCAGAAGCGAAGCGACCTGTTGTAGGGTACGATTAGTCAGATCAGAAAGCAAGGATGCCTGGAAAGCACAGAGAGTATGCACCGGAGTCCATTTGGCGACAGCGGCAGTTTCCTCCTAATGCCAACTCCATTATACCCTGGGATATTGGCCAACAACGACAAACACCATTGGTTGACGACGTATCGAAAGTAAGGGTCGACTTCAGTGCCTTTATTAACTCCATGGATGACCAGTCCTTTGCATATCTGTGCTTGATACGCGAATACGCCATGCGAACTCTTCAAGGCAAGGCCGCAGAGTACAGTGCGTTGTATCAAGCTATGATTTCCCAAAACGTCGAAGAAGAAGCTTTATCACGTATGTCGATTATTGAATTTCAAACCGATGGTCTACGTTCGAGAACGTTTACGGCCTTTGCAGAACTCAGGAACTATATGGATGAAACATCGGCAAGCAACGACTCTCCATTGAGACGGTTGGTTGTGTTGGAAGATATGCCTGTGCGATACATGTGTCTGCTAGGATCAAGGCTACGCATTCATCCTACCGTCTTCGCGCGTCATTACACAACCGAGGGTAGCAGCACGATATCGGATAACATCAATAGTCTTCCCTCTGTAGTCCAGACCAGCACCTCCGACGGTCTCGACTACGAAAGTGACGACGAAGAGCTTCATGCGCCACATAAGAGAAGAAGTTTCACTCTTCGTTATCCGGTACTCATGCCGCATGTATCTGCCAAACAGGACCCTGACCCGTTCAAATGTCCGGCGTGGCTCAAGCCCAATGCAAGACTGAGGGACCAGAGCGCAAATCCACGATTCATAGTTGAGAGGAGCCTGGAGACTCCGACCAGATACGACCAGTGGGACGCAAGGGGCGAGATCTCTGAGCTGGAAGGTCAAGTCACGTATTGGTACCATACGCTGCCAGGCAGCGGCTGGGAAGGTCAGTCAGAGCTCCAACCTTGCCAAATCCAGTCCAGACACTCAAGTTACACGTTCAGGCTTAGCGCTTGTTGATCCATGCCTCAAAGATCCAGCGCATCTAGCTGTCATCAGTGGCAGTCCATACCCGAACCTCAGTCGCATAATTCGATATCCAGAACTGGAAGATCATGAGAAATCTGAGTTGGCCCCTCATCCGCTACAATGGCACCCCAGTGCAGCCTTCACAAAATACAATCTGCACGATGACATATTGATTCATTATTCGGTGGCCAATTTCGGTCCAGGAGGTAACCCGCTATCCGTAACGCCTTTTCTACGTGGCTTTGTGATCAGCAAGTGGACCGCTGAAATGAATCACATTCGCAGAAGCTACGGCCATACACGAGCGGCGCTCTTCTCAAACTCTTCATCGCATTACTCTGGAAGTGCGCGTACTTCAGTCCAAGTGCGCTGGGGAGCGGATTGGAAAGAGTGGCTCTTCGAGACAATGGCCAAATTTACAACGGACCTGTATCTCTACCGTTTGGAAGTCGAGACCAACATGCGCGCTCTGGGGATCGACGTCGAAGATGCGCAAAGTTATGGTTTTGTTGGCAAACGAGAGGCGCAGATATGGCGGTTCTTGCGTACAAGCTGTATCGATTTACAAGAGATGTTCCAGCATCTGACAGATTCATACACCCAGGTCATCGCGCTGAGAGAAGCTCAGGCGAGCAATGCGCAAGCCAGCTCTGTGCGCTGGCTCACTGTGCTGGGATTTCTTTTCGTTCCTGTGTCCGTGGTCGCGGGTATCATGTCTATGGGGGGTGATTTCTTGCCAGGGGAGAGCAAGTTCTGGGTCTTCTTTGCTGTGATATGCCCTGTTCTACTGATCATAGGCGCAGTCTTGGTGATGACTATGGGACAGCAGACACTATCGCCGTGGCAAAGATTCAGGTCTTGGTGCGGTATGAGTAGCTAAGGTATCCTCAACGATTCGCTGGATTTGTGGTACTGCCCATGTCCCTACAGGAAGAAGCTGCAGCGGGGTTAAACCGCAGGCTTACAATCCTTGGTTGAAAGGCGCGATGATGTGGAACCATCTCAAAGACGAGACGTACTACAACGCCGCACGCTTCGACCCAGTCTTCGCCATGGCGCATAAGCTCCATGTACCGCTGTATCAGCAACCTGCTGGTCCGACCGCAGATATCGCATCCAAATTGTTCGTGGGCAACTACCCAGCCGCCGTGGCGGGAAAGCTCGGGGTAACGTCGTGGGGTTGGCATGTCGATGTAGGGATGCACGTATTGCGTCTCTATGGCGCGGGGTTATTCGATCACTTTCCCAAGCTGAAGCTCATAATTGGAAACAACGGCAAAGGGCTGCGCCTGTCTATTGACCGAATCGATTCGACGGGACTACGCAACGATGGGACGTTCGATCGGGTGTGGAAGACGAATATCTGGAGCACAACGAGTGCATTCTTTACTGTGAGACGGTTCGAGCAGCTTTGGCAGGTGAGTCCAGCAGAGAGGATCCTGTATTCGTACGATTATCCGTTCAGTGACAATACGGATGGCTGGGCGTTCGTGGAGAAGTTGGCGCGAACGCAGGTTCTAAGCGACGCTGAGATGGACATGTTTGCGTGGAGGAATGCTGAGAAGTTGCTGAAACTATGAGTAGCTGACATTGATGGAACGACGGATAAAGGTAATCGAACAATGATAGTATTTGTCTATGGACACGCGTTGGTCGCATGCACAGATGAGCTTCAAGGGGCCGATGATGCCATGCCAAGATATATGACGCTTGGTCACGATAGGATTAGCGCGGTCGCTAGCGCACCCAGCTCGCGCCTTCGCGCTCGAACGCGTCTCCCCTACAGTCCAGCTTCGCACATCCACCATCTACCATCTAGACATCATCAGGTCCTGCGAGGCCTAATGCTTGTCTGCGAGTTGGCGCATCAGCCTTGAAGTACGGCTTCTCCGCCAACGACGTAACCCTTGTCCCGTGCCTCGGCTCAATTCCTCCATAATCCCAACTCGCGTTGTGGATTGTAATTCTGTTATCCCACAATGCCGAAGTTCCTGGCGTCCAGCGGAACCGGACCTGGATATCGACGTTGTTTTCGTACACATCGAAGAGGTAGTTGAGAATGACGTCGCTTTCAGCTTTGTCTAATCCGACAATGCGATCTGTGAAGGCGCGGTTGACCCACAGAGCTTTCCATCCGGTTGCCGGGTGGACACGAACGATAGGATGAACGCGTTCGATGTGCTTAGGGCCAGCACTAGGATCATCACGATCAAGATACGGGTGCGCACTGCGGTACACTGCCTCTCTGCCATCGATGATCTTTCGGAAAGCAGGAGAAAGCTTCTCGTACGCAGCGTAGCCTGAAGCCCAAAGGGTGTCACCTCCGATCTTTGGGATGGTATCGTTGTGAAGGTGGGTTACGCTAAAAGGGTCAGAAATGAACATACGTTCAAAATACTACTCCTTACCCAGCAGGTTGGCGCTCGTGCACCAGATCAGTGTGCCACCTAGACGCTCCGCCCGTCTTCCGGAAGCTGGCTGGCACTTCCGTCGCCTGCAAAGCGGGCCATAGAACCGTCACCCCTGGCACACCGGGTACGAAGGGAACTTGCGGCTTCAGTCGATGTCAGCGCGTGAAGTGCCTTTGGGGAAGAACAACTTACGTGGACTTCAATCTCGCCATAATACTCGCCCAGCTTCTTCTGCTCTTGAGGCGAGAGATTCTGATCACGGAAGAACACCACGCTTCTTTCAGCGATCAGAAGACCAAGCTCATCCTTTTGTTGGTCTGTAAGGTCCTTCAGCTGAAGTCCAACGATCTCAGTTCCGATATGTGAGGTCAAATGGATGACTTCCTTCGCAGCACCAAACAGCGCTTGCTTCTCTGGATCGGCTCGGGCACCTGGATCGATGTGTTCACGATCATAGTCCCTGATCTTGTACACATCGTCAAGGTAGAGTGGTTTTGCTGGTCTGTACGGATAGCCGGCCGACAGATCGATTCCTGCCTTCTCGAGTCTCTTCCTGGCTGGCTCTGGCAATCCCAGCGAGTCTTTCCGCGGCTGGACGGTATCCTTCTCCTGGATGTGTTCGTGAACGGGGATTGCGATTGGAGCCATTTTCAAAGTCGTTTTGTGATGCAGTTGCGCAGACCTCATCGCTCGCGGTCCGACCAATTTTATATCCGGAACTCTATTGCCCCACCTCTCAAAACGTTCGCTCACAAATCCGCCTCCCATGCGTGGTCGACTGATGTGGCTGCATCGCGTGTTCTTTGCGACACATGTTGCGGGGTTGCGATCACATCATAATCTTGCAGATGACGAATACCCAGTCAACGTTTCTCATGTTATCGCTCGGAGAAACTTCGCTTCATTTCAAATGTAATCACATCTTAGTCGCGAATAGGTGCGTCGGTTTTGGTTGCTGGCATCCCATGCGAACATGGTCGCTCATGATGCCATTCGTATCCACCATCGCGCTTTGTTTTTAGCTACATCCCGGTTGAGATGCTTGCAGTGCTGACAAGCGGTATGGCCGAGGCATAAGCAACGAATGCTGACAGTAGGTAGATGGCTTTCATGGTGGAGTGTTGGGAGGCTTGTGTGTGTTGCTGCCGGCTGAAGAGTGGGGTCTTATTCGCACGCGCACCCGCGAAGCTGCGAAGAAGTTCCTTCAGCATACAAGCAATACTTCCAACATGTCTTTCCGATACAAAAGTGTTGCTGTAATTGGCGCAGGTATCAGTGGCGTGGTAGCTGCAGCTCATCTCCAAAAAGAGGGTGTCGAGGTCACTGTTTTTGAGCGATCGAGTGCCGCAGGAGGCATCTGGTATACAATCCAACTTCATGCCCCTCAGACAGGACTGACAGCTTAATAGGCTCTACGATGAGCGAAAGCCCTTGGAGCCACCGTATTCGGGAACCAAAGTGTCCAGAGCCGATAGTGTTCATGCGACCGAGGAGACGGAGGACACAGAGAGACTGCTTCATGCGCCACCTGGGTAAGTTCCCTAGACATGGTCTTGAAGCGCTACTTTGGACTGACTGGCCGCATACAGTCCATGTTATGTGGGCCTCAAGAACAACGTGAGCACGCGCTTGCTGGAAACCACCTTGAATCCGTTTCCGCCTGGGACTGAGGATTATGTGACGCATCAAGTCCTGTGCGACTATATACAAGCTACTGCTGCCTCCACGGGGGTACACGGGTTGACACAGTACGACACAGATGTGAGACGCGTCACGAAGAACGGCAAATCGTGGACGGTCGAGACTGTGACTCTGCAGACTGATCAGGAAGGTGCGCTCGAAAGACGTGTATCTGTTCATGTCAGTATCATTCTGGTTTTGGCTGCGCCTGGAGTTTGCTAATCTTGGGCTAGAACTTTGACGCCGTAGTGATTGCGTCCGGTCATTACCACACACCAAGAGTTCCCGATACGCCTGGACTGGCGGAATGGAAGCGACGATTTCCTGGTAGAGTGCAGCATTCGAAAAGCTACCGAAGGCCCGAGAATGCCCAAGATAAGGTAAGTGTGCGCCAGACTGAGCGAAACGACGTCGTCATGATTTAATAATACTTTAGAACTATCTACTTGTCGGTGCAAGTGTATCCGCGACGGACATTGCCCGCGAACTGAGCCCGTACGCAAACAAGATCTTACAGAGCCAAAGATATGGCAAATTTGATCTACCTCCTAGCATGCTTCCCGACAATGCATTCCGCATCGAAGAGGTGGCATCGTACGACGAACCACGCGCGAAGGCATATGCATCAGCATCACTGAACCCCGACGAAGCGATTCCGGCAACCGTCACATTGAAGTCAGGCGCAAAGATCTGTGATATCCACCATGTAATACTTTGCACTGGCTACTATCTCACCCTGCCTTTCCTACCACAGCTCACCTCAGACGAGACGCCAGTCGAGCATGCCGACGACGCGGTTTTGGTGACGGATGGTACACAATTCCACAATCTACACAAAGATATCTTCTACATCAACGATCCGACCCTGGCCTTCGTTGGAGTGCCTTTCTTCACGGCCACCTTCACGCTATTCGAGTTTCAAGCTATGGTTGTTGCAAAGGTGTTCTCAGGCCAGGCCAAGCTTCCCAACAATGATGTTATGCGGTCGGAGTACTACGCACGCGTGAAGAGCAAAGGTTATGGCAAGTCGTTTCATAGTCTGCGAGATCAAGAAGCGAGCTATGTCAACGAGCTTATGGACTGGGTCAATGCTGATCTACAAGAAGCCGGCAAAGATAAGTTGCATGGTCACACCGAGAAGTGGCATCGCGCAAGGGCGCAGCAGCTTGAGAGGATGAAGGCTTTTTTGGCTAATCCTACAACCGAGAAGCGGTTTGAAGCGACGTGTGTATGATATACTGAATTAACACATCATATCTCAATCGCAAAGATCAGTCTGCGCAGACAGTCAGCAGCGCAGACGAGCCTTCTCCAGTCACATGATCGAACGGAAAGTGTTGAGGATCTCCGCGCATTTCGTGATGGGTATTGCGCGACTCAGGCACGCAATCTGCATGCCTGATCACGACACACGACGCCACACCACTCCCATGCATCACGACAATCTTGAACTTACAAAGACCGGAAACGCAATTTACGTTCGTGATTATCAGATCTAGACTGTCTGCATGTAGCACAAACCCCACACGAACCCTGTCATAACGCCATACCAGCCCCAGTATGTCGAATCGCGCTACGAATCCTACCGCGCATTATCGACTCGCCACTGACGCGCCGAGCGCCATGCTGAACGGGCAATCTCTCAAGGGAAGCTTAGCGATGGCAAAGAGGGCCTTGTGTTGCTTGCTCAATAAAGCGGAGGCTTGTGCCAGTACCGCTCCAGACACCAGACATACGCTTTACATTGAAGCCTCGTGAAGATGGGTCGACCTCAGGACATCTCGACGGAAGCAGTCGCCGCTACAAACGTCATCCAAACCAATGAAGAGCTGAAAGCGAAGCCGCACAAGTGGTACTACTACCTCTGGGATACCCTGGACAAGCCGAAAGAAGAGCGATGGTTCATGTTCAAGCTCGATGCTGCTCTACTCACTTTCGCATCGTTGGGGTACTTCATCAAGTACCTTGACCAGATGAACATTAACAGCGCTTTTGTCTCTGGAATGTATGTATCGATCTTCCTTTAGCGATGACTGGCTGACATCAGAGTAGGAAGGAAGATCTTGGGCTTTACGGCAACCAGCTCAACTACATGCAAACTTGTTGGACTGTGGGCTATGTCATCGGCGAAATACCCAGCAACATCATCTTGACTCGCATTCGACCGTCGATTTGGATACCCGCAATGGAGGTATGATTCTGCAACACCATTCGGTTGGGAAGTTAGTACTGACACCGGTAGCTTACTTGGGCTGTCTTGACGTTTTGCCTTTGCCGTGCCAACAACGCCGAAACAATCTACGCTCTACGCTTCCTCATCGGCCTTGCTGAGAGCACTTTCTACCCAGGCATGCAATACATCATCGGATCGTGGTATCGAAAGGAAGAGCTCGCCAAGAGATCTTGTATCTTCCACACCAGCGGTGCCATCGCGACCATGTTCTCCGGCTACTTGATGGCCGGCGTATACAAGCTCGACGGCAAAGGCGGCTTCAGAGGCTGGCAATGGCTCTTCATCGTGGATGGGATAATCTCTCTCCCCATCGCGGTCCTTGGCTTCTTCTGTCTGCCCGATCTTCCGGAGATATCCAAGCCCTTCTACCTGACCAAAGAAGAAGTAGCATTTGCACAGGAGCGCATGCGACTTGAAGGACGACAGAAGCGGAAGCCGTATACCAGGGCCAAGATACGGAAGATATTCACTTCGTGGCATATCTGGGCTCTCGTCCCGCTTTATGTGTTCTTCAATAACGCGAGTATGGGATCGCAGCCGATCTTTCAGCAGTTTCTCAAGGCGAGTAAGGACCCGAAGTATACCGTCAGTGAGATCAATACCGTAAGTTTCGCTATCTCTGTACACCACCGGGTGGCGCTGATTCTCTTCAAAGTATCCCACCACTACCAACGCCGTACAAGTCGTCACAACACTGCTATACGCCTGGACGAGCGACAGCATCCTCAAAGGATCCAGATGGCAACCAATCGTCTTCGGCGGCTGCATGAATATCATCTGCTCTACCAGTCTCGCCATCTGGGATATACCCATCAAATGGAAGTGGGCTTGCTATATCCTCTCCGGTTTCGGTGGCGGTCTTTCCGGCTTATGCTTCGCATGGGCTCACGAGATATGCACGCATGATAACGAGGAGCGAGCCATTGTTGTCGCAGCGATGAATGAGATGGCTTATGTGATACAGGCTTGGCTGCCGCTTCTTGTTTGGAGGCAGGTTGAGGCGCCGCAGTATCGTAAGGGGTTTATTACGGTGGCGTTCATGAGTGCGGCGCTGATTGCGACTGCGCTTACGATTCGGCTACTGTATGCGAGAGAGTTGGTTAAGAGGGGTGGCGGTCGGGCTTCTGAAAGTGAGGAGCGGATGAGTTCTGATGAGGAAACGACGGGTCTTGGTAGCGATGGGGATGTTGGTCACATCAAAGCGCCTTGAGAGCTGCAGTCACTACCACTTCAACATTGAGTCTTTTACAGGAGCATTGTAGTTGAGGCTTTCCACCTCCATGATCATTGACTACAGCATTACCTAGATAAGACAAAAGGTCTGCTCCTGCAGTGTATCTGATGCTGAACCTTGAAATACCTCTCCGTTCATGATTTCGTCGACGTAAGCCTGACCCATGAATACATACTCGCTCCCTCTCGGTCGCAGCACATAGGGTGTGTTACCACCGTACAACACTGCCACGATATCACCGGGCAACATACAGTGTGGACCCAGGCCGTATGAGCCTCTCTATGTCCAAAACAGGCGTCGTTGTTCGCAAGCGGACAAAGTGTCTACTTGAAATTGAGATATGTCGGCGTCGCGTGTGTACCTAACCTCGTCTCCAAGTTCTAGCGATAGTGTCAGTCTCAGCAAGAACTCCGAGCCAGCTCTATAAAACCGTGCTTGGTCCTTCACGTCCAAACATTGAACATGTTCACTGGTCGGACCCCAGCACCCTGCAGTCAATGTTCTAATGAAACGTTTTGAGCTTGACTCTTTGCCTGTGTTTGCCACAGCTTGGATAATTGGATGTATCTTAATTTGGTTGTGGATGGAAGCTCTTGTATCCGGAGTATCTTCGCCGTTAACTCCATCATCATCGGCATGCTTGGGATGATTGGCAAACTCAAGAAGCTTCCGATTGTGATAGTCCATCACGTCACCGCATTCGAGAACTTTTCCGTAGACTACGCCCTTGAGACATAGATAGGTCGGTTGAGATGGATGCGCAACAGTGCTAGCAGTTACATGTTGTCCGCACGCGCTCCAAGGACAGTCATCTTCAACTCCCAGCTTCTGCGCAACTGCAATGTCATCCCATCGCGGAGCCCATGATCTGTATTCGGAACATCCTGGGTATTCCTCGGGGTTCTCATAGTCATCAAGACCAGGCCCTTCATAGTCGACCGGATGTGTGATGTGGGCAAAGGCGGTCAATCGCGAGTATAGTCTGATAACAGCCAAGACTGTGTCGGCGTATACTTCACCAATACTTTTCGCGTAATCCACGCCTAAGACATCGACTTCGGACCTTGGTGAGACAATGTTGAGAAGGCCATACACTTTGTCTCTGTTGTTAGAGGCTTCAAACATGCGGAAATGATCTAATGCCTCGAGTAGGTGGTACATGCTCTTGTCACGCAACATATCCGCGCTTTGAGCTTCGATCTGACGCAGTACGGATACATCAGTGTCGCCGCTTTTCTCTTGCCCTGTTCTATTGCTCTTGTCAAAAAGGTATGAGGCACTCAGAGCTAGGTCCGACCAAGAGATTTCGTCACCTCCCCAGATGATCTGAGCATCTGTGGCTAAGCGAATCTCTTGAATACACCATATCCTGGAGAACCAGGGCCGATCGTACAGTTCCTTGAGACTGCTCAACACGAGTGGGCGGAGCAGCCCTTCTGGCAGCTCAGCATCTTCATGTTTCGCTGCATAATCCGTAGTTGTGTTGTGCCTTCGATCGTAATCATGGCAAGCGACGGCGATCGTTTTACTGGTCTCGAACGAGAGTTGGGTCTGTTGCGCTTCTCCCTGCCCTAACCAGACAACGACTCTTCTTGCCAAGGAGTAAATACTACCCATCATCGGCACTTGGTGACTCTTCTCTGCGTCATCCGCCTGGTTGATACAGATTGCATCCGCCCAGATAATGCGCTCAGCTTCTCGATAACGTAACCTTCTCAAGGCCTGCGAAAGCGATGGTCCAACTTCGATATACTGACCATTACACCATATGTTGGCACGTGGTGTTGGTGCACCCCACACATAAGACAGCGCTTCATACTGAGGTGCCTGATCAATATTGAAAGAGCGGCATTCGCATCGCAATGGCTCCTCTTCATCGAGCGCAGGAAAGATCGTGAGAAGTCTGAACGTTCGCCCACCCAAAATGCTTTCCGCATAAGCAAAAGTGGCCGACATTTGGTGTTGGGAAGAAGATCGACTGCGAAAGTGTGGTTACGAGCATGAACCCTGACGAACACTCTTAGAGCATTACGAAGCGTGCTACGCTCGCTCGCATATGTCCGATGCGTATGTATCGCAATTCGGTACGTGCGCTGCGTGAACCCAAATTACAATAAAGTGGCTGATAGACGCCAGTGGTCGAGGACGGCAGACCAGCCGCGTCAGGCTGTCAAGTCACTCGTCGCAGGAATGGGGGTCGTGTCGATACTCAGGACCGTGAGAAAATCCGGGAAACGCCGATGACGTAGAAAGCCTTCGTGACGAAGTTTGCATGCGATGTCCTAGGTGGGTAGGTGGGAAGCAGAGGTGCGTCTTGTAGGAGGTTGGGAAGTGGCACTACGATAAGACCTCGGCAATGTGCCGCATATGGTACTGACATGTGGACACCGACGCTAATGTAGGAATTTCATTGTCGCGCTCGTGGGGAGCTGAACGGTGCGCCAAGCAACGCCATCATCCGCAACTTCAACCGTAGCTCAATTATCTGCCGCTGTCACCTACCACTGCCATGATACATTTCGGTCAATCGCCGGACCATACCTAGGTACCACCCCCTTCCAGATTAATAATCACATATCTCGTCATTGCGATCCGCAGACTTGGTGAACGCGACGAATGCCATCTGGAAACCTTACCTAGCCAAACTTCCGCCTCAATGCCGGCCTCAGGCGATCCATGAGCCAAGTCCGCGGTATACTGACCCGCTTCCTTCATCCCATGTCGCACGTGCGTCGTTCAAACGCCGGTGCCTGGGTACGGGACACGCCCACATTCTATCATCCATGTCATTACGGGAGCTTGCTATAGGGCATTTTATACGAAGTTTCAGCAAATGTCCAGCCTTATCTATTGCGCCCCTGTGCTAGCTAATGCGGGCTGGTCAGACTAAGCGAAACCACCTGCCCTTTTGCGAACCCTCACCACCACGCTCAAGCACGTTGGGACTTGCCAGATTATTGTATTATTTCCATTGGTCGACAGGTAAAGAGGTGCTGGAGGAGGTCTCTCCTCGCCGACCTTCACCGTGCTGCAAAGGGTCACGATTGTCCTGCTGATACCGATGTTGATGCTCCTTCGGACGTCATGTGTGAATGTGGTAAGTGCGCTTTGGTCTGCCAACGGTTTTGCGGCCACGTGCGCTACCATGGGAACTATGGGAAGATCAGTACGATCACTGCGGCACGCTCCACGAGTGGAGTGTACTTCCACGGCTACTGACGATCGTGACAAAAAGCAATGCGTTCATCATGTTCGGTTTCAAACATCACTGGGACACAAGGCGCAATTGACTTTGCTTACCCAAAGGTGGATGTTTCCGTTAGAGGCCTCAACACAGGCCATCCCAAGCAACCGTATGGCGAACTAACAAGTCGAAAGCCACATGGAAAACATGGAAGACCCGGCCTCGGGTGCCTTCAGCCGCACAAACGTGAGTAAGTGTCTGGACCAGTCGCGACCTTCGGGCGATGGTGTCGTTTCAAGCAGGTGGCAGGCGAAGCGCCACTCACACTATGCGCGGGACGTGCGTAGCTCACTTCAAGTAAGTTTCAACTCCTGCTCCTACAGGTCGCGGGGTAGTTGGTGTGTATGCCGGCTCCTATTACGAGCATGCCGGTTATAATGGCCGCGGGCGCTCCCGAGTGATTCAGGAATGCTTTTCTGGTACCCGCGGAGGACTTATGTTGTTTTTGCGGCCGTCTTTGCTGGCGTTTACTCATCATGACTTCGAGATTTCCTACGGCGGAGGAGTTCGCATCCTTTCCGCCGCCTAACTATGTCGACCCGGCGAATCACCTCACATTGGCTTTGGCGATATTGGTTCCACTGACTGTTCTCGTCATTGGGTTCATATCATGTCGATTCTACTGTCGGACAGTGCTCGTCAATACATTGGGATGGGACGACTGGACGATGCTGATGGCAGCTGTAAGTAACAGAAGAATACATCTATTAACCTGAGAGTAGAGCACTGACCTGTGTAGGTGATGTCTGTCGGAAGCAACGTTATGCTCATAATATCGATGCTGCCAGATTACCAAATGGGCTATCATTTATGTGAGTAGACCCTGACTTGGGTCACATCCGCCGTAGCTGATATCAAGTAGGGGACGTTCGACCTGAGCGACTGTTCGGGACGATGAAAGCTGCTCAGGTATGTTACGCGTCACGAGCTGGTGTTCTCATGCTCACAACAGTATAGATGGGCATGTCGACGCAATTGCTCTTCACTGCCATCATCACGTTCATGAAGGTCGCAATTCTTCTCACCTACATACGTAAGTGTGCAGCATGTGCGAAGCCGTGGCAGCGCAATCACTAAGAGCTTTCTAGGCATATTTCCGTCAAAGCTCGACAAGTGGTTCTGCCGCTTGATGATCTTCTACACGGTGACTCTGAACACGGCCTGCTTCTTCATCACCCTGTTCCAATGCTCGTAAGCAAACGCGATCATCTCAACTATTGCACATTATGCTAACAACCAATGTAGGCCCGCCAGCACGTACTGGGAGATCTTCAAGTACATCAACACAGCCAAGTGCCTCAACATCAAGGCGATCTACTACTTCCACTCGGCGCAAAACACATTCAGCGACTTCGTCATCTTCCTATGGCCCGCAAGAAACCTTTTGAACGTTCAAGTATCGCTCCGTCAGCGCGTAACTTTGACGAGCATGTTTTCGCTTGGTGTCATGTAGGTCGACCTTTCACAATCTACTTTGGATCAGGCTGACATGGGATCAGTGTATGCATCGCCGGCGTCGTACGACTTTACTATACACACCTATATCTCGTCTCCTACGACGTCTTTTGTGGGTCACCATCGAATCACAGCTGTACGCAATCATCAACTAACAATGTACAGGGTACGGAGCTACCACCTTCGTCATCATGTCGGTAGAGAGCGGTGTAGGTGTTATCTGCGGCTGCCTTCCAGGCTGCAAGCCTCTCATGAACAAACTGTTCCCACGCGTCTTCGGCAACACGTCGCAAGCATCGTCCCGCCGCCGGCCATCAAACAACTTCCTCGGAGGCAAATTCGCACCAACGTCGTCTTCATCGGCAGGCAAATCCGAGCAGGGGTCATATCGCATGCAAGCTTTCCAGTCGCGTCCCGAATTACGGCGCGGTGCGACCGTGGAGAAACGACCCCAGCCAGACGTTGAGAAACAGCTTCCTCCGCCACCACAACCGTCACACCAAGGGCTGCGGCCACCCAGCCGAGCGGCTTTCACCGGAAGGAGACAAGGAGACGCGTACAGAGAGTTACAGGGCAATGGGAGCGACTCCAGTATAGAGATATTCCTTTTGCAGCGTAATTAAAACATGTGCACCCTTCCTGGGGGACAGAAAGAATTGAGATGACAAAAGAATGTCCGTGCTTTTCGTTGTCGCACCGCCCCAATGACCCCGGAAGTTCATCATGCCGCCGATATCATCGAACCTTCTTTTGCCATATTCATCTTTGTACCACTGCGGACGCTAGAAACACGTCTGACCCCACTTCTGACGCCCCCTGATTGCACAAGTAAGGTCGCGTCGCGTGTCAAAAGTGTCGGCGGCGGATAGCTTGCAGTTTACCCCACTTCGCGTGTTTGCTACCGGTTCCTCGTCTCGCCATTTTTTCGCTCAGCCTGGCCGCATCTGCTTTCCGAACAACAAAGTGGGCATTACAGGCACAACACGGGATGTCTCTTGTTTTGATAGATCGGAAAGGGAACGAGGCAATATTCATGGTAAAAAATTAACGATGCTGTATTACGCAATGGCGATATCTCTCTGCTCCCAGCGACGGTCGCCCTCTATGTATGCGTCCAACCGGAAAATACCAACGCGCGTGTACTTCTTGGTTTGCGGCTGCATTGCCAGAATGAGCCCCCGACCTATAGTGATGCGAGCTAGCAGCACAGTATGGCATCCCGCAGTGTGTTCATCGCACTGACCGGATATGTCGGTCCAGGCTTTTCCAGACTTCGGATCAACAAAAGTCGGATGCCAAGACGACCAATCATCTTCTTGTGCACCGGTAGTCGCGTCCTCGTCGGTTCGATGACGCGTAGCTTTGCTACTGAACCCCCATGATCGAGCAGCTCTTTCGTGTCCCCATGATTGAGAAGCTCTTTCGTGTTTTCCCAGCTTAGCATGGAGGGTTAATGTTCGAAGTCTCAATTCAGCGTCGAGCACGTCGCTGAAGTCGTCTTTAGACGTGGCATTTTCGACGATGACGTTCAGTCGCTGACACATGATTGAATGGCCATCATACCATGAGTAGCTGATAGGCCCCTCTATCGATGCCCAAGACCATGATGGAGCGACCCATTTAGCGGCTCGGGTGGCTTTACGTGAGCTCCGATCGTCACGGTCCACTTCCCAGAGTAATTGGCTCGGCAGGTGTTCTGGCCAGAGCCCAGCGTAGTATCGCACAGGTGAGGACTGTCCAAACTTTCTGGCAACAGCCGAGATAGCGCGCAGCTTATCAGTGTTGTGGCTCAGACTTAGATGACTGTAGTGCATGACGATGCGTCCCCAAAGATCCAGAAACTCGGTTCCTGTCGCCGGTAAAGTGTACCAGTGAGCTGGTAAGTCAAGCGAATGACCAGTTCCATATGCCCCGAACGTTTCAGAATTCGTAATCCACCCATCTGTCTCCGGGACGACTTCATCAGTGCGATTGGCGGTGCATAGATACCGTAGCTGATGGGTACCGAACTCTAGGATGCGGGGAGAAAGGATTTGTTCTTGGAAACACCATCCACGTTGGTGGATTGGCTCAGCATTTCCCATGTCCCTCCCTGTCCAGAGAATTACGGAACCTATCTTGCCGTTTTTGCAAAGATAAGGTAACCGAAAACCTCTTTCCCGGGGGATATATCTGGATTGTAGAAACCCATCCTGCACTCTGGGGCTTCGTGAAGCTAGCAGGGTAACATGCGCATGGGAGTATATGTCGCCCATCCGGGCGAGCTCCACAATCTTGTCGCCATCGTCGTCCTGGACTATGCAGAGAGCGTCTATCCAGATGTACTCAAGCCCTAGTTCAGCCGTCACTAGTATAGCATCTTTCAACGTACGTGGAAGATCGCTGAACGAGATCTTGGACCGCCATGAGATTATGTTGCCTCTTTTCAGTTTCACTGGCTGATCTCCTCCCCAGCAGTAGCTCAAGGTAGCATACTTTGGCCGTTCAATGTGTGTTGTTTCCACCAAGCATAGCTCTGGATCCGTGGTTGAGCCCTTAGGCCTTTTGAAGATCTTGATGAGACGGCGAGGTTTCAAGATACCAGAGCCTGTCGTTGTGCGCCGGGATTTGTTGCCGCAGGCGTGATGCGTGGTGGTGCACGTCTGTAGCCACGTGCGAGCCGTCGACATGGTTTCGGCGGATGCGGGATTCAGATTTGGCAGCCTGTGTTTGATGTCTGTAGCGGCTACGTTACTGAGCCACATTCATCATTAGTGCACTAAACTAGCAAAGAAGCCTTGTTCCACGGAGGACGTACTCAGCCTCCACGCACAGCACTAGCTTGCGAGCAAAGTCTTTACCGTCCGTATATTGATTGATGTCATTGGCCCAGTCTAGCACAAGCTGTTCCTCGGAGTTATGCGTGAAGTATGCGCGCAATTGACTGTTTACTGTGGTATCCCGCCGGCGGAGGGTAACAAGCCACATCATCCATTCGCAGCCACCCTTTGCCAATGCGACGGCTTCACCATAATAAAGATTGAACCAGTATCCATACTCGTTGCCGGTCGAGGATTTGTGTTCGGTAATGAGCTCCCATGAGCCCTTTTCTGGGCAGCGGTTGTAGCCGTGGAGGTAGAGGAGCAGCTTGGATTGGCACACCTTACAGGCGTGGGGAAGAACAGGCACCAGCATACTTGATAGGCATGTGCAAGGCTTATACAGCGTAACAAAGCGGTCAGTATGCAGTCAGGCAGCTGGCGAAGTGAAAGGGATGAAAGTCGGGCGCTGGCGTTCGACGTGGAATGAGACGACGCGGGGCGGGGTGTGGGTCGGCGCGTAGCTTGCCCCACTTAGCGTGTTTGCTTCCATTGCCTCGCCTCATTGCTTTCTCGTCGTTTCTCAGCCTTTAGGGTCTTGCGAGCATTCCCATCGGAACAGTGTTGCTGTTCCATACATAGATTGCTCTACAGAACCTTATTCGAAAGCACCTAGTCCACAAGCGCGGCGTGTCAGACAGATCACTGAGCTCGTCGTACGTCGCGCCAATTCTTCAGTCCGAAGGCCTCACTCAGCCATTCAACTATGTCAAACGCACCTCGAGGCGGTGACAGAGGAAGAGGAGGATTTCGTGGAGACCGCGGAGGAGGACGTAGAGGAGGAGGGCGAGGCGACTATGGAGGTGGCGGCTTCCGAGGGGATCGAGGCGGTGGGTTTCGGGGTGATAGAGGCGGAGGCCGTGGTGGCGGCAGAGGAGGGTATGGTGGACCGCCCCGCGGTGGCCAGCAAGGCATCCAGATCTTCCCGTAAGATGTTGACCAACATTTGGTTCGTTCAGAATTGATATCCGTACAGCAACTCTCATCCGCAAGACCCGAAGGTCGCAAAAGTTGAAGATACTTTGCATCCAGTCGGAAAGAAAGGCCTCGATCTCAGCACCCTGACGCTATCTGAAGGAAATCCAACGAGACCCGGATATGGCACGAAAGGTGTCAAAGTAGAGCTCACGGCGAACTATGTTGAGCTGCTGCCACCTTCCAATATGGTGTTGTATCGCTACGATGTTGACGTCCAACCAGAAGCCGCTGGAAGGAAACGTCACCGGGTAATGGAGCTCTTGCTTCAGTCATCGGAGATGGCTCCTCTCAAAGGCGACGTCGCGACTGATTTCCGTCAAACTCTTGTTTCCAAGACGAAGTTCAAGCATGACGAAGACATCGTTGAGATTCAGTACCGCAGCGAAGGTGAAGACGAACCAGCAGCCAACGGCACGGTATACAAGATCAAAGTCAAATACATCCGAACGTACAGCATCGGTGAGCTGGTCGACTGGATGAATTCTACCAACCTCAGCCAGTCCTTGGGCGACAAGCAAGAATTGACGCAGGCGCTCAACATCTTCCTGAACCACTACGTCAAGTCCGCCAATAACCTCGCCACGATAGGCTCATCGAAAAGCTTCTCCCTGAATCAGAATGCGACAAGGGGTGATCTTGGCTCAGGTCTCGAAGTCATCCGCGGCTTCTTCTCCAGCGTGCGCATTGCAACTTGCCGCATCCTGGTCAATATCAACGTCAGTCATGGAGCCTTCTACCACTCTGGTCCTCTCCCGGGCCTCATGCACAGCTACGGTACACGGAACACCATTGCCTTAGAAAAGTTTCTCAAGCTGGTCCGCGTCCAAACCACGCATCTGGCTGAGAAGCGGAACAAAGCCAAGCAGGTCATTCCTCGCATCAAGACGATCTTTGGACTTGCCAGGAAGGACGACGGGCATAAGCTGACGAACAGGCCACGCATCAAGGGCCACGGTGCAGGCGCTAAGGATGTCGAGTTCTGGCTCGATGCTGACGCAGGCTCCTCCGGCGCACCCAAGGCGGAGGCGGGTGCTGCAAAGGGCAAGGGCAAAGGAAAGCCCCAGCCCAAGGGTCCAGCGCCTGCTGGATCGGGAAAATACATCACTGTGTTCGATTTCTTTAAGACGAGTATGTCACCCTCTTCCTCCATAGTATCCCGGTA